CCCCAAAACCCCAAAACCCCAAAACCCCAAAACCCCAAAACCCCAAAACCCCAAAACCCCAATTTAGGGAAACCTGATTGAAAATTCGTAGTTGAAAATCTCCAATTTCTGCCTAGATGGGAAAGAATAGTTCACGGATTTAGATGTTTATTTAATAAGTTGGGCATGCAGACTAATTTAAAAGCCTAATGTCTGGACAGCCCCTTTATTTAGAGTTTTAAGCTCGAGTTCAAGTTCTTGCCTAAACCTGGCAGGCTTGAGCTTTGACTTCTTTACTAAGAAATCTTCTCCTTGTCTGTTAAAAAAGTTGTTCAAAACAAGGGCATAATTGGGACAAGACAAGAATGTTTTCTTTGCTGCTGTTGAAAAGGAGTAAAGAACTTGCCTTATTTTTGTAAAGTCTCTACGCCTGATATAATCCTCATTCTTCTTATGACGGTGAGAGTGAAGTACAGTTATCATTCAGTCAAGGAATTCTGTATTCGAGATATTGCAATTTCCCGTGTGAACACTCGCAAACTCGTGTTCGATGAATCTAGATACGATCTTATCCATTTCGAGTTTTAAGGATTTGGTTAAACCCGAATTCTTAACGAATGAATTGAACCTCTCTTTGTAGTAGGCGCTCATTCCTCTGAAACAAGCTCGGCGTAAAGAGAAGTAGTTCCAATCAGCATTGGGAGAGCCAAGAGTCTTGGAATGCTTAACTATTTTCTTCTTAGAACTGATTGGGTCCTTTAAATTATCTCAGCAATAAGTACCATCGTCTGACTTATCAAAACTTGACTTGCGATCTTTAGAAGCAAGTTGGTTACTTGGAGCCTCTGGCTTCGAGCTTATCAAGCAGTGCCTGTATAGGAGGCCTAGGGTATCAACAAGCATTGGTGAAGCATTAGCGTCATTCTTCTCATCTCCAAGAAGGATGCAGGCTTTATCCTCCTTTTCTTGAGGAGGGCAACTAATTTCTCCAATAGTGACACTATCAGATTTGTCCATTAGATCTTCTGAAAAATCTTGTTCCAGATGGATACCTTTCTCCTCCGAGTTATTTTTAGTAGTATTAAAGATCGACCCATCAAATAAAATGTCAGGTTTGAATATAGGATTTCTAGCAATCTTTGGAAAGACTTTATGCTCTACCTTAAGTAGTTCATTCTCTCTCGGCATTGTGCCAAACAAGAATTGATATGCATCGCTTTTATCGTCTGATTTCTGTTCCATTTAAAATATTTTTATAGATCTATTCACTTCTGAACTATTTCTATCCTCATACTTTCTACAGGGGTTTTGGGGTTTTGGGGTTTTGGGGTTTTGGGGTTTTGGGGTTTTGGGG